GTTGAAAAGAATTGTCATTACAATAATAAAGTTCAGTGCTCCAATGTGGTTTTACATCAAGATACACCCTTACGTAACACACGGCTCAAGGAACGTATTCCAGTCCCTGCTATATATGAAACACCTGAATAGTGAGGAGGAGACGAGAGTGAAGAAGGCTGTCCACAGAAATGCATACTTCGCCCACACAGATCAACTTCTTCTTGGTATGTGTGCAGATGACATGACTGTTAGAGAAAAAGCTGTCTCAATGATAAGAAAAATTAGAGAGGAGAATCAGCAAAAGGAAGAATGCACTGGCAGATCTGAAGAGGAGGAGGAAGATTCTGATGCTGCTGTTGACGAGAATTTGTTAAACTATACTGATGAGGAGGGTAAAGATGGAGATGGGAATGAGGATGTGCCTCCTGTAGTCAACATGAGAAAGGTGGTGACTCCGAAACTAAAGTGGCAAGCAAAAACTATCATTCCATGATTAACTGGAGGAATGAACTCAAGACTGAGCCTCCTTACATTGCTTCTCTGTCAAATCTACAGGTTAATGACATTCTTGAGACACCATTAGTGGTGCCCAAGTGGCCAAACAGCACTCAGGCGGTCGAGAGAGGCATAAAATTGATGACTGAAGCTTGCACTGAAGTGACGGGATACGAATCGAGAGATGGATATATTAGGCAAAGATTATTGTCTAGGAAAATGATGCCAAGGTTCCGCACAAAAAAGAATTTCAATATGAACTTGTAATGATTTTCTATACGGTGTACCTGTAAAATAACATGTGAATTAAATCGATGTCACCCATGTAAAATTTATCATTATCCTGGAAAACATTAAATGACACCTAATTTTTGGTATACAGTGAGTTCTGCTATAACGCGTGTTTTGATAACGCGAATTTGCTCTAACGCGATTTATGAATTCGGAACAATATTTGTATAACGCGAACGCTTGTTTGCTATAACGCGATTTTTGCTTACTATTTCTCCAATTTTGTGGTATTAACTGTGAATATGGTAAAGAAGAATATCTCCAAAAGGCGTTCTGATGATAGAATTCCCGGTGATTATCGTAAAAGAAAGGATATAACACTTGAAGAGAAGCTCGATGTTATCAACCTCAAAATCACCCTTCTCCCCCATCAAGTTACATTCATATTTTTTCAAGGTAAAGTGTTAAATTTACTGTATGATTTCATTATTAGATATGAATATAACATTTATTTAGACTGTGCTATCCTTTGTGTTAGGCTAACTACTAAATTTTTTCGATTTCGAGTAATCTGCACCTAACCCTATTTTCTCCATAAGCCCTGTTATTTCTATTACGCGATTTTCTATAACACGATATTTTACAAGAACACAATTATCGCGTTATAGCAGAACTACCTGTACACTAAAAGTTGACAAAAAGTCGTTCGCGATGCGGCAGGGTAAGTATGCATGAAATGGCATGAAATTTTGCACAGGTGTTTGTTACAGCCATACAAACGATGCCTGAAAAGTGCAGCCTGCAACTCAAATAAAAGTGTTTTTTCCCTGCCCCCTACTGTACATTATATTTTTTATTTAATATTTATTTATCTATTTATATTTATTAATTATTATTATTATTATTATTATTATTATTATTATTATTATTATATTTTTGCCCCCAGGCCCTGATGTGGGTCATTGACCTGTGCCCTGGCGGGATAATCCTATAAAAAAACAATGCAATTAAGATGAATTCCCATGTCATCAATACAGCCTTTACTCATTCTATGGTGACCCGTAGGCCACCATCATTGCAGTGATGATGTCACCACTCGTCAAGAGCTTATACCTGTATACCACCCACATTGGCTCAAGGCAAGTGTGCCTGCAGCTGAACTCATAGCATGAGTTGGTTCAAACTCCATACACTGTGATCCACTCCACCAGGTATTTAAAGGGTGTCTACCTTTCTTGCAAGAAACTCATATTACAGAAGCAGCAACTTTCACAACAAGCTCTCCTGTAACAGCTACAACCACTCGCTGCAAAGTTATGCCAACAACTTCACTGAGTATCTTCGGTTACCTTGCGCACTGCCAATTATTCAATTTCAGTTAATTGTTAAACTCACCTATATAATGAGAGATTTTGTAAGTAAAGAAATTTTTATTTATGTTGAGACTCAGAAATAGAGTTGTAATTTTGTAGCATGAGTTTCTTTGTCCAATTTATTGTTGATAACTTCACAACCACAAAAGAACACCACAATACTTAAATATATACTTCACTCAAACTCTACTTTACTTTATCTCCTTCACAACTGACCGGCCTGCTAGCTGCTTGAGCAGTCGTTCACGTTTCTTATGCACTGTAGGCAAGCACTACTGGCTCTAGAATGTATTTGAACTTGCTCCAGTGTTGATCAAGTCTGGTCTTGAATGATCCCACACTTGTTGCCATCACAACACATCCTTGACCACCGAAGGGTCAAGACGTACCTGGTGCTCCTCTCGGAGCAGCCAGGTCAACTGTTAAGTTGGCCCATACCAACTCCCTCCCCTGAACCCTCCTCCCCACCGGAATATCAACAAGTTCTCGCCAGAAGTTACAATTTCATTTAGGAAAGGAACGGAACCAGTGTTAAACAGAGGTGAACAGTGGTGAACAGTGTTTAAGTCAGTGAGAACAACTCAACAGTAACAGTCGTACCCAAGTTAACCTTCACACAGTGAGGTCCCAGGTACCCAGTGATAAAGGACCGTGAGACCAGCGATGTGTTAATCCGTCTACGATAGGAAGGCCTAAGACCAAACCTCACTCATATAACACCATCTGTGAGGGAATTACTACACCACATGTCCCTCATAACACCATATGTGAGGGAATTACTACACCACGTCAAGTCCCTCATCACACCATCTGTGAGGGAATTACTACACCACGTGAGGTCCCTCATAACACCATCTGTGAGGGAATTACTACACCACGTCAGGCCCCTCATAACACCATCTGTGAGGGAATTACTACACCACGTGATGCCCCTCATAACACCATCTGTGAGGGAGTTACTACACCATGTGAGGCCCCTCATAACACCATCTGTGAGGTAATTACTACACCACGTGAGGACCCTCATAACACCATCTGTGAGGTAATTACTACACCACGTGAGGTCCCTCATAACACCATCTGTGAGGGAATTACTACACCACGTGAGGCCCCTCATAACACCATCTGCGAGGGAATTACTACACCACGCCAGGTCCCTCATAACACCATCTGAGGGAACTATTACACCACGTGAGTTCCTCCTAACACCATCTGGGAGGGAGTTACTACACTACGTGTTTGCTGTTCAACACCTACATTAATCTGAATGTTCACTGTATGTTCCTTTACCTTTCTCTAATGAAGGCTTTTGTTAAACCACCAATGTATGTAATAAGTCATTTATGTCCAATGTATATTTTCAGTCTTCGGGCTGCAGAATTTTTTCAATAAACAGTTAATTATTATTATTATTATTTATTATTACAACACACACTGGCAGATTATTCCAAGAATTCACACCTCTCAACCTGATGTGGTAACCTCTAATGGGGTGGGCATCCACTAGTTTCTGGTATGAACTTCCAATCGAGTAATGTCCTCCGAAGTACCTAAAGATTTCTGTTATGTCAACCCCTTATCTGTCTATTGCATAAAATAGGCAACTGCAGGCATTCTTATCTCTCTGATTACCTGAGTGTAGGCACCTGTCTGGTGGTCCTCTTTCTTAAATCTTCAATCAACTGGCAGTCTCTAGCATATCTACCAGATGGGGTGACAGTACTCCAAACAGGGGAGCACCAATAGGGACAGGCCATGTAGGCATGTGAACACCCTTATAATAACTTACTAGCTTATTCACTTGATTTACTTTCTTCTCACAATGGTCTGAGAACATCAGTTTGTTGTAAACGGTCCCAGTACACTGCCCTGTGATATCCCACTTGTCACAGATACACACGATGATTTTGTGCCATTAATCACTACACACTGCTTACGGTCACAAAGAAATCTCTGATCCATGCTAGGACGCTCCCCTGTATTCCATACCCTACCAGTTCAATTTTCAGCCTGTCATGAGGTATGCTATTGAAAGCCTTGGCAAAGTTTAGATATATACTGTATATACACAATAATATCAATATTGCCACCACTCCAGGATCTATGTCCACACATACAACACCTGTAGTAATTGCATCAAGCAGGAGCATCCATGCATTAAACCATGTTGGCATTCCCATACAGTACAAGGTGTACCATCACTACATCTCGTATAATGCTCTCTAGTAATTTATACGCAATGCTGGTCACACTCACTGGCCTACAATTGTTTTTGCAGTGGCAATGGTCACCCTGTTTGAATATAAAACATACATATGTCTTTATAGAGTCACTGGGACCTTTTGCTTATCCGTGCATCTACAGAACAAGAGTTTAAGGGGCTCTACAAGCTCGATGCACAACTCTCATAACACTTTGGGATGCAAACTATCAGGGCCAAGACTCTAAAGAACCTTTAGCCTTGACTAATTGTTCCCAATACACTTTTCTGAAAACTTAATATTATGTTGGTGCTGTGTAAAACTGTTTTTCCTCAAACACAAAGAGGTTGTTCACATCCTTTCCTGTGAACACTGAGGAAAAGAATTTATTCAACACCTACACCTTGTACAGTACTGTACTGATCTGATTCTGCATTAGTGCCACCTTCAAATCTCTGATCTGATATGTTCACATGTGTCTTTAATTTAGATTTTGCATAACAGCAGAAAGTCTTAGGGTTTGACTTGTCCTTGTTTGCCATCCACCTTCTATCCTGCTCATCATTAAAATACCCTAAAATCCATCTACGTACTGTTAAAACTAGGATGTAAAATGGCATTTGAAAGAGACAGTATAAAAAACTTTGCAAGCAGTTAAAAGAGCAGCTCAACACAAGCAAAACAGTTGCCTAGGACTATATCATCCTCAATAACTAACCTCCTGTGTTGTTCCAAGTCTTTTTGCTGGAATGCCTACACGTGCCTTTTCAAAGACATCTCTCCCACCATAGTTTGCAGCTGCTGTTGGAGAGTAAATGAAGCCTCCTGGGGCCACTGTATTTAAACGCACTCCATTTGCAGCCCACTCCACTGCAAGAGACTGATGTGAATTTATTAGCAGAATCTATTAACATAGTAACAGGTATTTCTCGGTTTTCACGTTAGATATGGTCCTAAAACGTAATAAGGTAAGCAATAACATGTATAATGTACAGTAAAGTGAAATTAATAATCTCACAAGAAAACATGTGAAAGTTTAGTGATGCACGTTACACTTTAAATATTACAGTGGTGCCTCGATTAACGAACGGTTCAATTAACAAAATTTCGGTTAACGAATTAGCTCCCACAAGGATTTTCAATTACATTAACGAACAAAACTTCGATTAACGAAAGCCTTACGAGAAATACGCTTTGTTGTGTGCATCAGCTGATCGGCTAGTCCGCCAATACAGTAATTGGTTCTATGTTTACATTCATTTCCAGTGGAGTAAATATCAAGAAAGTTGTGCTCTTAAATATTTTTTCATTTTTTATATTAAAATTACTGGTCATTCTAATTTAGTTAACATATTGATAAAACTATATATACAGTGGTGTGAACATCCACTTTGTTGGTCTCTTGAATATTTCTGCATTTTTACATTAAAATTATTGGTCATTCTGAAATTTAGTTCACATATTGATAATATGCAGTGCAAAAATTATTATGAAACATGAGGAAGGTATTAGAACCAATGCACTCTGTAAAGAATATGGCATGTCATCATCGACTGCCTCTACAATCAGCTGTTTGATATTGTAGCGTACTGTATGTGGACAGTTGTCAATTTTCTTAGTATGGGCACACAAACGTACGTACATGTAGATATCTCACACTCAGGAATGAGGTAGAATAGAAACTCACAATGCGCTTTCTGTATATATGTTGTTGTACAGTGCAGTGCTTAGGAGTGACTAGGTGAGGAGTAGCTTGCTCAGAGGTCCTGTAGGGCGAGGAGGTTTCTGAGGAAGCTGGGTGGTGAGGAGCTGTTGAGAGATGTTGCTGGTCCGGTAGCCGAGTGTAGAATGGTCTCCCTGGCCAGGCATGGCCGTATTTATACAATTTACGAGGATCAGGATTTGGGGTGAGCGTAGCGAGAGGGCCAATCACAGCGGCTTAAGCGTAAGGTGTGAAACGCTCTGATCCTGAGCTGGAGGTTGAAGGTCGAGACTAGGTCGGCGATCGTACCCCTACGTCCACTGCATAGACCTAGTCTCTCGGCGTAGCTGGCTGTACGCTGATTGGCTGGTAGGCGCTCGGCCGGAGCTCAGTTGGGAGTTGTAGGGGAGAGGATCCACTACAATATATAAACAAAGCTGCCAGGAATACGACAAACACACACCTCAAAGAAAGTTAAAATACAGTACAGTATTCTATTGTTTTTTATTCATTATTATACAGTATACTGCACAGTACAGTACTGCATTTAGTTTATATTTAATGTTTTGTTAATTCTATTACCGGTATACAGTACTTTGTATGTATTTTTTCTGTGAGTTGGAACCAATTACCCAATATCCCATTGAAATAATAGATTCAGTTCACGAAATTTTTGGTTAACGAACGATTCTGTGGAACCAATTGTGTTCGTTAATCGAGGGACCACTGTACATTTCTTTGTGCCCTGTTAAACTCACTTTTTCACTTTTCTGCTTGTTAGTGCTCTCATTTATAAATGTTGAAAGAGATGATGATAAAAATGAGATTATTGGTTTCATGTGGAAATACAACACAAAAGTACAACAAAATACCTTAGTTAAATTGTCAACACCTGCACGAGCTGCTGCTGAGTGAGCCATCATTGGAATACCCCGGGAAGTGTCAAGAATGATGTTGACAATCACACCACCATTTTCTCTCATCCACTGGCCATAAACTATCCAATGGGAAAAAAAAGAGTAAAATGCTATCTTACTGATACACAACTCATTTTCAAGTGAATCATGATAATGCGTGTTAGAGAAACTGAAGGTGCATACTGTACATAAAAACATGATACTGTACTGTAATGCAGCTGAAAATCAGTCAAATGTCTTTTATTCAAAAGTAATATTAACAAGAAAATTTTTGTTACAGTATTTTGCATTCAAACATAATAGTAATTAAAGAGAGGGGAACTGATCAGAAAACAAACCTTCTTTACACATCAAAAAAGTTCCTGTGAGGTTGGTTTCCACTACAGCATCCCAACCTTTGAGCCTTATGTCAGCCACAGGAGAAAGATATTGACCACCGCCATTGTTTACAAGATAGTCAATCTTACCAAGCTCACTCAGTGTTGAAGAGATCAGAGTGCTGTGGAATGGAAAACCTCAGCACATTACAACTAATAGCTATGTAGCCCAGTCTCTTCATCAAAATTAGGTGTTATGTCACTTAAATATCTACAACTACATCCAGGCATACTGATATTTCAGGTATAAAAAATTACCACTAGTGCATCATATAAATGCTTCATATAGTGCATCATATAGGACTTCATTATTGCGATTTTATTTTTTCAAACAGTACTTACTTAATTTGGTCTTCCTTTCTGATATTGCAAACTTTACCTCGAAGTCTATTGCTATTCGGACAGAGCTCTTGAACAGTTGCTTTTAACCTCTCTTCTTTCCTGGATGCAATTACTACTTTGCATCCTGAAATATTGAAAATACAATAAAATATGATATGATTTAAATTGCACATTTGTATGAAAACAGTATGGTAAGCCTATAACAGTACAGTACTGTTTGTTACTTTTATGTATGTGTGTCTGCTCCTTTTCCCAAGTGTGTACAGTATCTCGTTTATAAATAATTAAATAACACAATTTACATTGATTTTGGATGCCTTTACACATATTTTTTCAACTTATATCACCATCCAGGTACAGTACAATAGTGAAAGGGATATATTCTAGAATTAACAGGCCCAAACACAAGCATAAAACAATATTTATATCACTGTACCAAGACTGAGTAACTCCTCTGTGATGGCTTTCCCTATGCCTGTAGCTCCTCCTGTCACCAAAGCCACCTTATTCTTAAACAGGAGTGGCCTGAACACTGACATATCTGAAAAAAGAAAACAACAAAGTATTGTATTCATTAAAAACATCTTCATTTACAGGTACAGTATAGACTGCATTTACGCGGTCAATTGAACCCGTGGAGGTCCGGGTAAAACGAGAAACGCGTAAACGAAATAACAGAATATATGGGATTAATTGAAATAGAGACTGGGCCGACCCCCAGACTCCACTTTTTCCGACACAATACGTACGTTGTAGTAAAAATAGTATCTTAATTTTATGATGGTATGCACACACACATAACATAGAAGAGAAATATCAATAAGAGAATAATATACTGTACCAGGTAAAAGAAAAATCAAGGTTTAACACTTACGTTAGTAGAAGAGATGGGTCAGCATACGAGGGTGGGGGCTGGTTCCGAGGCAAAGGGCAGATTACTGGCCCTCAGGTGAATCACCATCACTATCCACCATAGTTGTCAGGGCCTCCCTGACAAACCCCTCAAAGTCACCATCACTGTCACTATCACTGATTTGGGCTGGCTGTGGTGGGTTGCGGGCGAAGAAGTTGGTGATGCTACGCTGACAGCTAATGTTGATGTGGTCGTGATATATCTTGATGTACTGCTCCATACCTTGGTCTAGAAGGTTATTGAAGACTTCATATCGGTGATTGACAGGGTCTTTGGAAAGGGTGAGCTTGAGTTTCTCGGCAAACTCGATGGCATCCTTTACATCACCATGTGTTAACTTCTGTTCTCGTGCTGCCTCCTCTCTGACGTCATCGTCTTCCAACATCTTGTCGGCAGTCACCTCAGGATCCCTAATTACCTCCATGATGTCTTCGTTGGTAGTCTCGGAGAAGCCTGCAGCTGTAACACTGTGCAGCTTCTCTTGCAAGGTCCACTGCCACTGCAACAGACTGAACCTCACCAGCCACAGGTTGCCTCTGCCTCCCACCTGGGATACCTTGCAACACATGCCACCACGCGTGACAAATTGTTGTCACAGACAGCTGCCCCCATGGCTCCACCAAGAAATCAACAGCTTTCTTTACGTTAAACATTTTCCAAACCTGTTTAACTCACACTTCATGCTCCGCCAACTCTTGTTCTGGATCCTCGTCGCCGCTCTCGCTATCTGTGCCACTCAGAAGGTTACGCAACTCATCCTTGGTGTTGGTGTAGTCGTTCAGGAGCTTAAACTTCTTTGCAGAGAATGCAGCCTTCACGCCGCATAAATGATGTAATTTACCGCATAATTAAAACATTTCATTCTGGCATGGCACCGCGTAAATGACCAAACGCATAAACAAAAACCGCGTAAATCCAGGCTATACTGTACTTATATTACAATTTAACCCTCCAGGTGAAATATACCATCTAAAGAAAACTAAGAAAAATCCTCTTTTGATGGTAATAAGCCACACTCTGTCTTTTCCTGGATAGATGTTTGGATTTTTCCCTAAACCCCCTGTATGTATTGTGAAATAACAGAATAACAGTTTCCACACTGGAGTGAAACTTGACATGTTTCATTGCTTCAGATTAATAACACCATATACAGTAGTCATAATAATAATAATAATAATAATAATAATAATAATAATAATAATAATAATAATAGGTCCAGTTCTAAAAGGTTCTATTGCTTTTTTTGTGTTTTACTTACTTTTATCCTCTTCGCCACTGATCGACTTGTTAGCCGATTGGGCGGTTGGTTACGTCTCTGATACGTACTGTTAGCAGATTCTGGGCATGCACTGGCTCCTGAATATATTGCAACCTGCTCCAGTGTTGGTCAAGTCTGGCCTTGAATGAGCTCACACTTGCTGTCATCTCAACGCTCTCTGACAGATTGTTCCCAGAGTTCAAAATTCTCACTCCAAAAAAGTTTGCTCTCACCGTTTTCTGGAATTGTGACTTCTTCAACCCTTGAGCTGTGACCCCTTGTGGGGGCGGACGTCTGCCAGGTACGTACATTTGACCAAGTAGTGCCCCCTGAGATGTTAATGCACTTTGATTAGGCAGGCACCAGTCTGGTGGGCCTCCTTTGGATATTTTCATTCAATTGACAGTCTCCAGCATACCTGGGGGACCATACGGGTGACAATACTCCAGACGGGGAAGCACCTCACTCTTGAAGATCGTCACGAGCAATAGACCAGCCAAATATCTAAATGACTTTCTTATAAGACCTACTAGTTTTGTTGCCTGATTCACCCCCTTCTCACAATGGCCTGAGAACTTAAGTTCATTGTCGACAAACACACTCAGGTCCTTTTCACATTTGGTCTCAATTAATGCAGTCTCTTCATCCTGTGGGACATGTGATACACCTCCTTACAGTTGGTGTGACCCAGGTGCATCCTTTTGCACTTCGTGACATTAAATCTTAGCAGCTATTTCCTCGACCATTCTTGAAGCTCATAAGAGATCTTTCTGCTGCTCTTCACAGTCTGTTTGGTTTTAATTTCCCAAAATAACTTGGCATAATCCGCAAACATTTGTATGGAGAAGTGTATAGCTTCTGGCATGTCATTAATAAAGCAGACAAGCAACAATGGGCCCAGTACACTGCCCTGTGGTACCCTGCTATTCACAGGTACACATGACGATTTTGTACCATTAATCACCACACACTGCTTGCGGTCATGTAGAAAGTCTCCGATCTACACTAGGACATTTTCCCGAGTCCCATACCCTTCCAGTTTAATTTTCAGCCTTTCATGGGGTACACTGTCAAAAGCCTTGGCAAAATCTAGACATACCTGTATATTACTTTTTCTTACTTTTATCCTCTTCACCACTGATCGACTTGTTAGCCGCTTGGGCGATCGGTCACGTCTCTGATTACTTCTCCTTTTCATTTATCCTCTTTGCCAAAAGATCGGCTCGTTAGCCACCCGGGCAATCGGTCACGTCTCTTGTCACGCACTGTTGGCAAGTACTGGGCATGCACCGGCTCCTTAATGTACCTGAACCCGCTCCAGTGTTGGTCAAGTCTTGTCTTGAAAGAGCTCACACTCGGTGCCATCACAACACTCTCTAGTAGATTATTCCAAGAGTTTACAACCCTCACTCCGAAAAAGTTTCCCCTCACAGTTTTCTGGACGTGCGGCTTCTTCCATCTTAAGCTGTGACCCCTTGTGGGCCGAGTGTCCGCCAGCTCCAAGTAAGGACACTCGACTGAGTAGTGCCCCGAGATGCTTATACACCTCAACTAGGTCACCCCTTGCCCGTCTGTAGTATAAGCTTGGCAAGTTCAGGCACTCCAATCTCTCAGGGTAGCTGAGGTGCCGAAGTGCAGGCACCAGTCTGGTGGCCCTCCTTTGAACATTTTTAACCAACTGACAGTCCCTAGCATATCTCGGGGACCAGATGGGGTGACAATACTCCAGATGGGGAAGCACTTCACTCTTGAAGATCGTTACGAGAGTCTAGATATCTGAACGACCTTCTTATAAGACCTAATAATTTATTTGCCTGGTTTACCTTCTTCTCGCAATGGCCCGAGAACTTCAGCTCATTGTCAACATACACACTTAGGTTCTTTTCACATTCAGTCTCAACTAGTGTAGTTTCTTCATCCCATTGGGACATATAATACGCCTCCTTACCGTTGGTACGCCCCAGGTGCATCCTTTTACACTTCGTGACATTGAATCTCAGCAGCCATTTCTTCGACCATTCCTGGAGCCCATAGAGGTCCTTCTGCAGCTCTTCACAGTCCGCTTGGTTCTTAATTTCCCGAAATAACTTGGCGTCATCGGCAAACATTTATATGGAGGAGTGTACAACGTCAGGCATGTCATTTATAAAACAAACAAACAACAGCGGGCCTAATACACTGCCCTGTCGTACCCCAATTGTGACAGGTACGGATGATGGTTTCGTGCCATTAATCACCACACACTGCTTGCAGTTATGTAGAAAGTCTTTTATCCACGCTAGGACATTTCCCCGGATGCTGTACCCTTCCAGTTTGATTTTCAGCCATTCATGGGGTACACTGTCGAAAGCTTGGCAAAATCTAGGTAAATATTGTCGATATTACCACTCCGTTCCAGAATATGGGTCCAAATATCCAATACATTGAGCAATTGTGTTAAGCAGGAGCACCCCGGCATAAAACCGTGTTGGCAATCCTTAACAAGCTTGTTTCGTATTAGATGTTCCATTGCGGCATCTCTGATAATACTCTCAAGTAATTTACATATTATGCTGGTCAGGCTCACTGGTCTATAGTTGTTCGTGGAGTGACGATCGCCCTTCTTGAAAATAAGACTCACATAAGCCACTTTCCAATCACTGGGGACCATTTGTGCATCAAGGCATTTACAAAACAGGATCTTCAGGAGCTCAGCAAGCTCGCTACACAACTCTCTAAGCACTCTGGGGTTCACCATGTCAGGGCCGGGACTCTTATGGACATTTAGCCTGGACAGTTTATTTCTAATAACCTCTTCTGTGGGTCAGTGTTGTGTCGAACCGTCTGTCCTCAAATGCAGGTAGCTAAATCGCATACTCTCTTATGAACACCAAGAAAAAGAAGCTGTTCAATGCCTACGCTTTGTCCTGGTCAGTATCAGCTTAACTACCATCTTCAAGCCTCAGGTCCGATACTCCTACTCACATTTTTAATTTCGACTTTGCATAGCGGTAAAACGCCTTTGGGTATGACTTGACCTCGCTTGCAACCAGCCTCTGGAACTCCTTTTTAGCCCTTCTACAGTACACTCTGATTTTGCTTGGTTCCTGGCTCTTAAATACATCCTCCTGTCCTGCTCATCATTTGACCTAACCCACACCTTGAATTTCTGAATTTTCTTCTTAAAATGTCGGCAACCACACGGTTCATGTGTAGGGATCCTCTTGTATTCCTAGAGACACTGGGTTTGGTCTTGGGTATATATTTCTCAATCAAATGGTTCACTTTACTAGCTATGATTTTCAGCATAGTGTCTGCATTCTTATACCTTAGTGAGTCAGGCCAGTGGATACCCCTCAAATCCTCCCCCATCCCGTCGTAATTTCCGTTG